GGGGGGGGTAAAGTACGCATTAAGTTATCACCATTTATGATGCTGGACCATAGGAAATAATTTCTTCATCTGCCCCCTCCAAACTATGCAACTTTTGCAGGACACGTTTTTTAATTGAACTATTAAGTTGGCTGAAAACTTAATACGTATTTTAAAATGGGACACCCCGTATGAAAACCCTTTGGCTGATCTGAATTAAATTTTTTATAGTTATTCCCTAGTATCTTACAAAAAATATAGGCTACTATGAAACCTTGACATCACACCTTCTATCCCTGACTTAATACCTTTAACACTTCACGTTTCCGCAAATGCTATTTTAGATATAAAAAGCTCAGACAACTCAGAATAGTTTAAGCTAGTAGTCGATCAAAAAAGGTAAGAAGGTATAACACGTAATAAACGTTATTACAGGACAGAATAAAAATGAAATAACCGTTTTACTATTGTGTTTCATAACGTACCTTTATTGTTTCTAATCTTGCCAGTTTATCATGTTTCCGCTTCTTGAAAATATTTTCGATGTCACCTAGCCTCACTAACTCTTCTCGATTATCCTGAGTGGAGTGTAATCGCTTGACACCACGGGTAACGGATGTCACTTGCCGCTTTAATAGTGCCGTATCTATCTTTTTAAAATCTTCATCAGTGAATAAACGTTCAATCGATATTTGTGACGCCTTAATATTTCTTTCTGCAGTAAACTCTTGTTTTTTCTTTATTTTTATCCCAGGCTGTTCCTCCACTTGTTTTTCCTTACGTTTCATTTTCGATGTTTGTTTCTTTGTATTATCGCTTTTCTTTTGTGGAAATTTCTGTTGGGTTTTCATCTGAGTATTGTTCTTTAACTTAATTATACTTCCACTTACAATCTTTGAATTTTTGTCTTTAAAGTTTTGTGTTTTGGTGTTTGCTTGTGCATACTCGTGTTCTTTATCACCATATACTTCTCCTTCACTGGTTTCTTCTTCCTTCTCTTCATCAACACTATTATCTATATGTTTATTACTTATATTTTCATCTTCTTCACTATCAGTCACCCATTCATCAGTATCCTCGTCAGTGCTATGCTTCATATCAATCCACTCGTCATCATCCTTACAAAACAGAAATAATACAGTGCGAAAATGATCTTAAAGCATTTAGCAAAGAAGATACAAGATTTTAAGCTTACTTACATCGCTAATTTCACTATCAATTTCCATAGTTTTTGAGTGATAATTCTCAAGCAGGATTTCAGATCCTGGAATGAAATCCTTAGTAATACTTTCGCCATATTTTAGCGATTCGATCGCCACTGAAGCTTCAGTAGGTCTTCCTCTGTCCTTTTTGTGGAGCAAATCTGGGTTTGTATGTCTAAATAAAGCAATAAGCGATCGCGCCGCCATCATGACACTACGATCACGATAATTCTTATACTGTGCCAAATCTCGTAATAAATCTTCTGTCATCACCAGTGGACAGCGTGAACACACTTCTCGAACGGCATTCAATCTATTCCACAATTCGATATCAACAATATGGAAGATCACGTATACTCTTAACATTTTAGAAAGAATTAATAATTACCCAATAGCCATGACATCTGCTGAATTTCTTTCAGTGACAAAATTGTTTACAAGTGTTTTTAGAACTGGTTCCATTACGTCAGATGGCACTAACTCGTGAGAAGCCTGTGCAACAAATTGTAGCAATTTCGTGACCTCTAAAAACATCACAAAAGTAATTTACTAAATGTTATGATCCTTGCCTAATAGTTAGTTAATGTAATACTTCTAAGAACCTCTTTATGTAACGATATTAGCTCGTACATTTTATTTCTATAGCGAAACCGTCTCTAGGTGGTGCAATACTCCTGAGTAAGTCTATACATATAATTAAAAGATATATTGGATTCCAAGTTCAACGCATGAAGTGAAACTAAATTTTTGTAGCCTTTTCTACAATAATGTTAACCCTTAATCGTCGACGTGATTTTTTCAACTAACGTTTCTCAAAGGTGAAGCGGCCTGCCAGACCGCACATCAGTAGTTAAAAGTTAATATAAGAACAATAAAACTGCATTGACGCTATTATACTAGTTAAAACCCAAATTTTAGCACCGCGATTTGAATATCAAAAACTAACCTCGTTGATGTGGTTGAAGAAATCGTTGTACATAAGGATAAAAATTGAAGAGAAATAAACTATGGAGACCAATGAGCCTTGAGATAATATCCAGTGTCATCAACTTAATTTCAAATCTGTTATTATTCTTTTCCATTTGCTTGAACAACTTTTCTGCGAATCCTTGAGGATCATTGATGAGGTGTAATGCAGAAAAGTTATATTGTGGGGCTTTCGCTTTCTTTTTTTTTGATTTCTGAAATTGTATTGGGGGTCATAAAATTTCAAATGTAAAAACTCAACAGCAAACATATTGGAAAAATCATCAATCATCACATGATCTAAGAAAATTACTTACGATAAATAATTGTTTTACTTTCTTCAACTGTTTTTCGCGCTTTTTTGTTTTTTTATTAACTTTATTCGCCATCATAATTTCCTTAATATTTGGTTCTTCATCGCTATCGTCATCACTATCTTCTTCCTCGGAATCAGTGCCAAGAAAAAATTTGAGACTAGCTACCATAACCTTGGTAACTTTAGAAAAACATCCAGTTGCGATGACATTAACAGTTTTGGCATTGTTCCACACATTTTTGTTATATAGTTCTATCATGATGTCAACAGACATTTTAGCAGCTCTGGCATTCGTGTCATTCAACATAGTGAACATAAAGTTCTGCAAGGCAGTATTTACTTTAGCATTTTTATGTTTGGCATTTATATTTTTTATATCTGTAATAATATGGGTTTCGAGAAACTGTCGCAAAGCCTTGTCTTGACAACGAAGCAATTGAAAGAAGAGGTTCAAAAGGGCAGTGGGTTCCAGAAGTCCTTTGCTCCGAAGTAAGATCAACGCTTTACAGAATGTCTGCAACAATTGATAACAATTATTTATGATAAGTAATATTTTTTTTAATTCCTGCAAGAATAAATATACTTATTATAGCATTGTATTTATTATAAACTTGAGAATTAGGATCAAGCAGTAGAACTTAGAACTTTATGTTTTTCTCGAGGATCAAATTTTAATCTAATTTATACGAGAACGGTCTTCTCTTTTATGGCTCCGAATAATACAAAAATACAATTCTGGGCTATTTCTCATCGATGCACTAGCGGTAATTTTGCAATATCTGTAGAAAATAGTGATGAATGGTTCAGACTGTATGAAGAATATTAGTAACATCAATTATGATAAATTTATTCTATGAAAAACATACATAACATTACATATGTTCACCCAACTTACAAGAGTTGCAGTAGAGCATTGTAAAAATTAATAAAATGAGCAAAGTCAAGAAACTCGGTCGAGTCTCGTGCGAAGTACAGACAACCGGTTGAACAGGCAGCAGCCTATCGTGACTCTTTACTCGAGACAATTCTTGCACCTTGTTTACAATCAAATATCATATTGTAAATAGCTAAATATGAGAAAAAGTTACTGATGCATTCATTATGGGAATTGAGGGTTCTCAATCGATTGCCACCAAAATCGCAGAGATTTGTGTAAGAGATCAGGGCGTATTGAAAGGGCTAGCGAGATGATTTTATTTCAGTTTCGTCGTCGTCGTTTTCACACGTTCATTTACGTTTTACACGACCAATGGTGCTGGTGATTCAATTATGCACAACAAAAACCAAACATTCTGTCCATCAAGCTGTCGTTTACATCGAGTTTTCAAATAAAATCCTTCCTTTCCTTATGGCTGCCTCCTTCAATGAGAAGATATGCCAGTAACTTGTCCGAAAAAACCAGGTACGGGAAATTGTTAATATTCAGAGAAGGGGAAAGATGTGTTTCCATGTTGGTGAGTTTCCAAAGAAGCAGCCAGAATCACCAATGAGCATTCCGAAACTTGTTGTATGAGTGTAGCATAAGGTGATTCAATGTGTGCATCTCCCGATAGTTAAAGGATCAGTAGATGGTGTTACGTCCGCGTGAGAAATCAGGTTCCACATCCGCGGTCGATAATTAAATATCAAAAGGCCAACCAGCGGAGTCTGGTTTCTATGACACAGCGACTCTTGGAAGCGGCTATCTCTCATATGGGTCCCACGTTTAGGGAAAGTGAGATGAACCTTTCAAGAGGATACACGTCTAAAAAATTATACTTAGATAAAAGCCCTGACCATTAGTGATTTCACTGAGGTGCACATGTGCACCGAAAACGGACCTTCCTGATTTTATGACTTTTCCTTGAAAACCCTACTAGATTCCTTACTCATCTCCGAGGAAATCATCCTTGGCCAATCCTGACTCAGTAAATCCTTCACCCCCATGCAAAGTTCCCCGCCAAAATTTCTAGGACCAATGATCTAATTTCCTTAACCACCATATACTCTTTACCTACAAATTTCTCCAGATGAACAAATAATAACAATCCTCAATCCTACTCCAAAAATCCACCCCAGTTAACTAACATTCACTAAATCCTCCAAGACTTCCACTCATTCTTCGCCGATCCATCAGTTTTCTCATTCTCTACCGATCCGCTAACCAAAGTAGTTGACCAGTATTGATTTTATTTTCCCGCTTGTTAGGCAATTAAAGTAGTTGTTCAGTTTTTGATTTGCTTGCATTTGTGATAACTTATGTTAACTCGGTTCATATAAATACACTTTCTCATTTTCCTATTTGAGATTAATCTTATTTCTTATCATCGGCGTCATCCTTATCATCCGACAGCGAGGTAAGCAATTATAATTAATACATTTGGTGAGCGAACTCTTGAATTTTTTAAAGGTATTACTACGGACCGAAAAATAACAAAAGTTTCAATGTAAGATTTGAACAATCCAGCGTCAACTTTTGAACTGGTACAGTTCACTCAACACGCCCATCCCTGCATCGATAGGCACACACTAATGTACATTGGATGTAGTAGTGTATACGTATATACACCGAATACAGTCTCAAACGCAATGTTGCCGTAACGCTCTTTTGTCTAGCCGTCGTACGAGAGATTTCGTAATAAATATCGAACTTCTTTCATGTCTATCAATAAATCCTATGAGTAAAAAGTTCTGACTAAAAATCTAAAAAATTCCTAATTTTTTCCTTTGCCACATACTAGTTTTTCATCGGAATTACGCGGACGAGTCAAAAGCAATAAAAAAAACCATGCGCGTTTTATTGGCCAGGTATAGGGAATACGTGTTACGAGTCCTGATTTTAATTCGGAAATACTCGGAAACTGATGAGTGAATCGTGTTAAAAACTTGTAGAGAGATGTACTGCTATACAAATTAGACGTAAAACAAATTTCAGCTCGATTACGCGGTTTTGAGTTTACCGTAGTAATACCTTAAACCATAGTAGATGTTAGAATTTCTTATATTTATAATTATTTATAATAGTTGATGACGGTTTCCATTTGTTATATATCGTGACATAGTAGGTTTTACCTCGTCAGGTCCCCGGCGGGAACTGTAGTGGTACACGGGAAAATCCGAAAAGTAGAAAAGAATCCAGGCATGATCCCACCACCTCAAGGGCCAACGATGCTACGAATTTGTTGATTCTGATTCTGTTGTTTGATTTTTGCTATGTCCTATGCCGCGAATATTGAATACTGAAGTCGCGTCAGAAGTTGACGCACGAAATAAAAACCGATTTTGTCATTGTTGACCCAAAAAGCCGATGTGTTATTTTTGTTGAAAGCTGTCCTTGGTTTCGAAAATCCCTGCCGCCCCCGCGTAGCTGAGTTAACCAAGGGAGGCCCGAACGAAGGAATTGATCAGAACTGATACATGGTTCCCGTTTGGAACCTGGCGCCCAACAACAGGATTGTTAGTGTTTAGGAAATGTTAGCCCTGGGTTGCCTAGGACGCGAAAGAATCGCGTAAGTTGTGCGCCGGTCAGTCTCACATCTCCCGGCGAGGCTCGATCGCGTAAAATAAGTCACAACTTTTTGGCGCCCAACGTGGGGCCACATCGAAAAGAGACAAGGACAGACGGGAGAAAAATTAAACTTTTTGGGGACTGGATTTTTTATATTGAATAGTCCACGTTCGTTGATTTTAGTACTCAAAACTTTTGAAACTATTAGATAACAGTTGGCCTAATCACGTGCAGAACATCCGATAAGAAAGTTCGAATGTAGGAATGTACTAGAATATTCTAGATCGGATTAGACAAGATCGCGTTAAAACGTTTCTGTTTAGAGTTGACGTCGATAGTATTGCGACCGAAGTATTGCTTTCCGCGTCGGAAAGGTTGTCGCGAAAGTACACAGCTGAGTAAAAATTCCTCGTTGACTTTAAATCAATGTCATCAACATCAATATATATAATTAAAAAAAGTGTAGTGCCAACAACCAACCCCTGGAGCCCAATGAGGGTTATATGGTGTGGTAGCACACCATCCCCCATCGAATAAGTTTATGTTTTGGAACGGATATCCTTTCAGGATATTTCAGGATATTGAGAAAATTTTTTTTTCATACAGCGTCTTTCGCATTGTGAAGCTAAACGTACTTCTGGCTTCTCATTTGATTCATTTCTTCGCTGTCTAGGAAGTTCCATAAAATTCTATAGGATTCCATACAATGCTCCAAAAAATTCTGGAAATTCTGGATCTGGAAAATGCAATAGAAATTCATATAATGTTCTCGGAAGTTGCAGAAAGTTCTATAGAATTCTATAAAATGTCCCAGAAAGTTCTAGAAAGTTCCAAAAAATTGAAAGGAATTTCATATAATGTTCCAGAATAATCTACGAAGTTCTAGAAAATTCTAAAGAATTCCGTTTAATTTTGACTAAGCGAAGCAAGGGCAATTTGCTAGTATTGATGTGAGTCCAAATACTGGATTCACGGATTTGACTACCAGAAAGGATTTTCAGGAGTCAGGTACTTTGAGATTCGTTGCCCGAGTAAAAAGTTGAACTTAACTCTCGATAACAAGTATAAGATTTATTTGAAACAAAATTGGTTACGTTGGAATACACTATTAGAAATAAACTGTAAACTGTAAACGACGTAGAGACGCAATAACCAAAGGATTGTTTTTATATTTCGCCATGGTGTCGGTGATGTATCTCCTTTGTTTCCATAATATTGCGGGTGGAATGTGCCGCGTCGCAGTGTAGCCATTCCGCCGCTTCTGAGGTAGGCGCGTTTCCAAATTTATATTATGGTTTACAACAGTATTAAATATGTTAACGGATATTATTTTTTTACTATTCAGTAATATCTATTTCTCTCAGTGTATCATTGAAAAAATTAACTAAGGAGCTGACCAGGTCCGATCGAAATACAAATTTTTTATTGGATATTATTATGGCTACTGAGGAATGTTGTGCTGCAAGATTAAATGTATTGATCTCGCATGAAAGTAGCGACCATGGCGTTGTATTTATTACGTTAGAAGTAAGTAAAAAGAGAGAACATAAGAAATTTTGTATATGAACGCAGTTTCAAAAATGCTGATGCAGCATATGCTCATAATGTGGTTAGTCAGATTAATTGGAATGAGTTATGTGATTGCACAAGTGTTGATGAGAAACTTCGAAAATTCACGAAATTAATGACACTAGTCGCTGATCAAGTTGGGCTAGTGAAAAGGATGACAAAACCGCATAACTAATGGATCACTGACACAATTAAAAAAAAAATGATAAAATTGGGAAATAAGGCGCATACAAATTTTTTGAAATCTAGGAGTGATGCGAATTGGGCAACATACAGAAATTATACGAATTACGATACTGCTGCAATTAACAAAGAGAGGAAAGCATACTTTACATTTAGATTTGACGACAGCTTAAATATAGAGAGATGGCAAAATTTAAGGAATTATGATATTCATAGTTCCAAGAAACATGCATATGAAATTAAATATCATCCTGATATATTGAATGATTACTTCTTAGAGTCGCTACTATCCTTAAAGGTC